ACATGCTTGTGGATTTCAATGGCTTCTCTGTGTAGTCTGACATGGTGGTTGTTAGAGTGGTCCAGCATTTTTCTGTTCTCAAATAATATGCCATTAAATGCTAATCAAGGTGGTCAGTTGAAACATTCACACCTAGCTCCAACAGACAAGAGTTCTTTGTCCCACCCTGGTCATTCCACAGAGATATACACCCATTTTCCTAGTTCCAACAGACCCCACTACCTCTGAGGATGCTTGCCATAGATGCAGGCGAAACGTCAGGAGAGAATGCCTCTAGAACATGGCCATATAGCCTGAAAAAACCTACAACAACCCAGTGATTCCGACCATGAAAGCCTTCGACAATACATTGTGTATGTGTGCTTTGTTTGTGTATATATTGTGTGTATATATATTTGGAGCGAGAGTTGTCAGATGTACAAGTTGGGTTTAGAAAAGGCAGAGGAATGATAGACCAAATTGCCAATATCCGCTGGATAATGGAGAAAGGCAGGGAGTTTCAGAAAAACATCTATTTCTGTTTTATTGACTATTCTAAAGCATTTGATTGTGTGGATTATAATAAATGGTGGCAAGTTCTTCGTGGGATGGGCATCCCAAGCCACCTTGTCTCTCTCCTGAGGAATCTGTACAAGGACCAAGTAGCAACAGTCAGAACTGACCATGGAACAACAGGCTGGTTCAAGATTGGGAAAGGCGCATGACAGGGTTGTATACTCTCACCCAACCTATTCAACTTTATATATAGCTGTACCTGCCACGCGTTGCTGTGGCCAACCTTCCCTCTCCTTTATCTCCTTCTTTCTTTCTCTCCTTCCTTCCTTCTCTTCCTTTTCCCTTCCTTTCCCCCACCTTTCTTTCACTTCCTCTTTCCCCCCTTTCTTCCTTCTCTACCTATTCTTGGACTGCAACTCCCAGCAGTCGTCCTGATTGATCTATCTATCCGCCTATCTATCTCTATCTAATCTATCTATCTGGAGGATTGCTGGGAGTTGCAGTTCAGGAATAGGAAATTGGAAATATGCAGGGATTGGGATGCTCTCAAAGAAATCCAAGGAAAACAAAGCTTGCAGCTTGGAAGCAGTGCATTTGGATCATCCTCCTCTCCTAACGGGCCTGGTCTAGGGGAT